ATAGACAAGCAGTTTTACTATAAAGCATTGTGATCCAACTGGATTCACTTCCCTCTTAGTCAGTATGAGCAATTAGGAGTGTTAACATTCTACTTTTTGGTACTTTTAACAACCAGCTAAAAATTATTCATATTTATTGATGTGAATAAAATTATAAATGTTACAAACTTTTCCAGGCGGGCTTTTCACATTTTAGTTTTGGTATCTTTCAATATATATTTCGTTTCCTAAAATAAAGTTTAACAATCTTACAGGTATTTAATTTCTTTTGTCACATTCATTAAGCACTTTGTAACTTCACACTCTAAGACAATAGTAGTTTTATTAATATTCTCGTCTCACAAATGAGGAAATATGAGCTTACAGAAGTATTTTTCATAATTATCCAATACACTGATAAAGCAGGACTGAAGTCACATCTACCTGACTCCAAGGCCATATTCTTAACCACTACACTCTAGAGTAGCATTAGCTAATGACTGAGGATCTCTACAGTCTGGGGCAAACACCTTTTGATACTCTGATGAAACATATGAACTACTCCCTAGAACTGTACATTATCAAAATTTCCTTTATAATTTCATTTCCCTCCATAGACACTAGGTTAAAAATTCCTGATACAGAAATGAAAAGTAATAATCTAGGATAAAAGTAGACTAGGAATGGGAAAACTATTAACTCCCACCCACCTTTAGCAATAACTGGTGAAACATCAGAAAAATCATATCATTTTTCCGGATTTCATTTTATTCAGTGGCACAATCCTAAAAGAAGTATGGTTTTATCCTACTGTAACATCGCCACCTAGCTGTAGTTACAATAAATCCAAAATTAGAATTCAAATGCAACACTTCTCAGCCAATTTTTTTAAATTAAGATATCACTGATAAATAAAGTGGGGGGGATCTCACTCCCCAACTTCAAGCTTTACTACAAAGCCATAGTAATCAAGACAATTTGGTACTGGCACAACAACAGAGCCACAGACCAGTGGAACAGAATAGAGACTCCAAACATTAACCCAAACATATATGATCAATTAATAAACAATAAAGGAGCCATGGACATACAATGGGGAAATGACAGTCTCTTCAACAGATGGTACTGGCAAAACTGGACAGCTACATGTAAGATAATGAAACTGGATCACTGTCTAACCCCATACACAAAAGTAAATTCAAAATGGATCAAAGACCTGAATGTAAGTCATGAAACCATAAAACTCTTGGAAAAAAACATGGGCAAAAATCTCTTGGACATAAACATGAGCAACTT